ACGCGCATTTCTCCACCTCGCAACTTGCAATTACTCATTACTACCGAGGATATACGTCATTAAAAGAGAAAATCTCTCGTTATTAGAAAGGGTAATGAGGCACTGAACTTTAAGTTACTTTTCAAATATTTTTTTGCGCATTAATAAGCTAAATTTACAACCAATTACAGAGCTGTTATGTGGATATCTGGACAAAAAATAATAAAAGCAAACTTTATGGGACTATATTTTACGGTTTTATATTACACTGTAAACATGCTTAATTGCCACGACGAGGCAAAGACGCCATTTTATTAAGAATTGACATTTTATCATTCTATAAACTGAAATATAATATATATTTACCTTTTTGCATCTATCACAGACGTACAATATCAGGTTGCGAGAGCTAAACCAGTTTACTATGTAAGACAAGCCAGGGTAAGATGATGACGCGATACCGTCGGAACATTTATACTGCATCCTCTACTACCTGTTAGTCAATGATGATGATGCAATATAAAATACATTAGTCTCAGGGCTTAATTTGCCCATACGGTAACAGGCAAAACGTCTCGTAGTGGTAATGGCTACCATATATGTCTATAGTGCGAATGACTCATCCTGTGAAGTCATCGTACTGCTGTACAAAGACACCGCGGTGGTTTAGGCATGATGAACGAGCATTGATTGCTGCAGCAGTCCATCTTAACATTTTAACAGTCCCCTTATGCTACGTGTGTAGTCAAGGCCGTACGCAGGAAATTTTCTGTAGGGGGGCAAAGATACTCCCCATGCCCCCTGTGCCCTAACGTTTCGCAATTTCACATTTCTTTATTTAAAGTGTAATATTTCTTTGATGATTTAAGATACCGCGGTAACCTTTTGTCACATTTCTATTTTATTTCTAAAAGTGTACAGTATTTGTCCCATTAAAAGGCATACTCTGAAAATCTCTAGGGGGGCAACTGCCCCTGCTGCCCCCCTGCTGCGTACCGCCCTGTGTGTAGTGTCTGCCCGGCGCACACGTGGCGATTTTTATCGACAGTACCGTCGATTTTTATCGCTGGTACTGTCGATAAAAATCGCCACGTGTGCGCTGACAATTCAACCGTCTATCAGCGACATACCACTGTATGAACTGTACTGAACTGTTCAAACCACACCCACGGCGCTGCCAATATTGATCACGTGCTTCAAATCATCATTTGATTGGTTAATCCAAAAACTGTTGGCCCGAGATCCAGTCGCCAGCACACGTAGCGATTGTTCAGCGACTGGGCAACAAACATGATATTCCAGCGACGAGTTTCTGGCGTCAAAATCGGTGACGCCGGGCAGCGCACACGTGGCGATTTCTCGGCGATTTTGTCGCCGGCAACAGAATCGCCGGTACTAGCGATAAAAATCGCCACGTGTGCGCCGGGCTTTAAGGGGTGGGCACACTAGCCGATTTTTCGTACGGTCGAGCCGGCCGGCTGAGTCTGGAGCTCTGCGGACACACTACGCGGCTGAGCCGGGCGACTCTGTGGATTTTCAGCACGCTTCATCTCGCGCCACCTAGATTGATAGTCACTTGATTGTAAATGGCACCGTCCCGTGAAGCAAAACGAAACATAGTTATAACTTTTTCTACTTTGTTGCTCCTACGAAAAAACCGTCGCCGAAGGAAGAGGTGGGAGAATCGGGTTGCGTGGGCCAAGCCGCCAAGATGTGGATACTGCGCCCCCAATCGCACGACGTGTATAATAACTTGGTCAAGGAGCTGGCAGAGGAAGATGTGGGGTGATATCAAGAGTGCATAATAGAGATATATGGTGATATATATATGCGAATGTCGCCAGGCAATTATCTTTCAGAAGTTGTTGGGCATCGTTTGTGATTCACGTGACAACTAATTGTGATTTGATTGGCTGATGAATTGTACAATCGGCCGGCTCAATCGCAGACCCGGGCACACTAAGCGATTGCAGCCGGCCGGCTCAAATAATTATCAAACATGCGGCTGGCTCAAAATTCGACCGTGACTGCGACCGGGACACTGGACACACTAGCCGATTTTTCGTGCGATCTCCTGCGTACAAATTGTTCAACATATATGCCAGCATACTGTTTCTGCAAAACAACGGGCCTATCTTACAAAGATACGAACAATTTCTTTAGAAATCCCTTGTTAAAAACACAACCTGAAAATTATCACTCAGTAAGATATGCAAAATATCCACATGTATTGCCAAAATGCGATTAGATACATACATTCCTCTCTGCTTATCACAAGAATTGCTAGACGTACGAGGCTAGGAACTGCAGTTGTCATTCCCCATGCACTGGCTCACGTTTACCCAACCGAAGCCCGACAAAGAATCTCTTACACTGCAAAACAAAGGATTGGGATTCATGTCGTACTAAATTGATTTTAAAAGCAGTCTTGAAAATGCACATGAAAATCCAGTTAGTTCGGATTTCAAAAATTTTGATATTTACTTTCGACTTAGGTTGTAAATTCCATTAATCTTAGCCAGTACTGCTCAAAATTTACCAGTCCTGAACTGGGGGACGGGCTGCTCTTTCCAACACTGCTTCAAGTAGTGACTACTGGCTATGCTACTAATAAAAACCTGGAAAAAGTGTAGGATTACAGTTATAGGTTAGGATAGTCTAGAGGTTACAGTACGGCATACCCACATATACCTGCACATGTATTTTGTCCATCATTCGATTTTGGAAAGTCTTAGATGCAGAAACTTGTAGTTGTACAAACCCATAAAAGTAGAAAAACAACTAAAACAAATACACACACAAAATACATACGGCACACCTGCTGGCTGAAGTATTTTCTGTTTGACTTACTGTTTTAATATTGACTGATCTCACCACCCCAAACAATGAACTCGTGGAAAATTTTAACACGTTAATAATTGCACGGCTATGTGTGAGTGCATGTGCGTGTGCGGGCGTGCGTGAGTGCATTTCTGTGTGAAATCCTATGTGTATATATGAATGATGCATGTACATTTTTTACAGCAAAGCTAATAAATACTTCAATGCTACAAAACTCAAACTACAGTAATCTTTTTCATATCAGCCTGGATCAATTTGCAGTATTTGCAGCAACATTACGAAATTTCTTTTCACTGTAGCACAGCTTGGACAGCTGCTGCCACCATCATTTTGGCACTGATTAATAATGGCCAGTAACATACACTCACCACACAGGCACTTGGAGCGTTTCAATAAAATATAATGCTAAATAAATACGAAATCTATTTACTACCAAAGTCTCAATGTTTCTATACTCTCTTCTTTCACCTATTATTGCCGACAATTTCCTGCAAATGCCGTCCAAATGCTCATCTGCAACAAACGCTGGCTGCCGCCATGGCTGCCGCCATGGCTGCCGCTGCACACTGACACATAAATATATAGCAGGTAGGAAAGCGTGCTGCCAAAATTCGCTCGACGCTCGCTTGATTTCACACGAATACAACAGAAATATTCAACCATTCTACTCCATCTTTGTTTCTATTTGAAAGACAGTGGTAAGTTGTCTACTAACTTGTTATAAAAACATACTGTCTGTGTTCGTAACCGAGCTGTGTCACGTGAAATCACACAAAGCCTGACGAAATTCTCGCGTTCGCTCCCGTTGTGCAGTTTATGTAAATTATTACAAATGACAAAATTATGTGGTTTCTTGAGGTCCACAAGAAACGGGTTTGCCTCATGAGTGACCACCAACCAACCATGAGTGAAATGTCATCCAACCCATTTGATTGTGCAAGTTATTACATTTATTTATGTATTCATTCGTTTAACGACTGGTGGTACCTTGATTAATTTAAAATGAGACCATGCATGGGTGCTTGCAGTTCTTTAGCGTTCTCACAATTGCAGGTCAAAGAGCAGTCTTTCTCTTAGCTAGGCTTGCTAAGAACAGAGATATGACTAGCCTACACAGTAAGCTAGCGCTGATAGGGTCTATGTCCCCCAGGGTACTGCCGGAACGTACCCTGGTACTAAATACTACTATCTAATATGCCGGACCGTACCTCGCCTACTCCCCTAACGAGTCTAGGAAGTCGCCTACGCCTACTCCCTAACCCTAACTCTAACCCTAACCCTATCCATATCAGCTAGATAGTTACCAGGGTACGTTCCGGTATACCAGACCGTACCCAGGGTACGTTCCGACAGTACCCTGGGGGACATAGACCCTATGAGCTAAGCTAGCAATGCGCATCACACACGTTTATATTCATTACCTGGTATCTATACATCTTGTTGGTTTGCTAGCTATTGGCTTATTTTGTAATGTCAATTTGTCAGCGCTAAAGTCTAAAGAGTACATCTCCTTCTAACTTGTATATTAATGTTTCACGTATAAACAGACGGAATTTCTTTTTGTCCCAACATAAAATCATACGAGCAACCAAGTCAAAGTAACGGCACAACGCCGAATAACGGTACAAACTACACAATGCCAAATAACGGTACATCGAAAGACAACGGAACATCACATTCACACTACTGTCACTAGTGAATAATATGTAACCCTGCAGAGGCAGGGTTCCTCTCACTGGCATAACATTGCAATGACACTGATTAATGACAAAGAGAGGGGGGTCAATGTTACTCTAATTACTTGTATCATAATCTAAGCATAGTAGTAACTAGTAGTAGTATTATTAATTAAGTAAACATGGTCTTGGGCATTGGCACGGACAGTGCCACACAGGCACACTGTCACACTCAGAAATGTAAAAATAGATAACGATATATAATAATATAGCCTAACATATGACCTTACCTTGTTCATGGCGCTCGCAGTTGGTAAAGGTGATCAATAGCCATAACACATTAGCGAATACGATTGATCTCATAGCGTTTATTTATTGTAAATCAGAAAATACTAATGTCTAGTGTACTGTTAATTTCTCAAGTCCATCTTGGTCTTTACTTTTCCTGTGACAAATGAACAGCTGAATAATTCGATGAATGCTATCGCGAGACTGCGAGACTTTGCGAGAGCTAATCGATGTAAACAAATTAATGTGCACGCCAATATACACGCTTCACGCTTTCTCACTGTAAGAAAATTATTGCATTTTATTGATTAGCGTTGGAATTTAGGCGATTACATAAACTATTATTATAAACGATTTATAATTTCAGTAAGTTTTGTATAGAGCTTATTATGACAAGCGATTTTTGTGGCATAAGTAAAGTAAAGTAAAGAAGGCCTAGTGACGGTGTAAGATAATGATTCAAAGATGTTTATTTGTGCATACGTGATACGACTCACGAGTCCACATACATTCATACATACATACATACATTCGTTTCTTTGGAGGAGCCCCTGAGTGATTCACTCAGGGCGGTTTTATGGTGCGTTTTTCGAGACTAGAACTTCCAAACTGGGCTTATTTTAACGCTGTGGCTATATGCCCGGCAGCCGGGCAGCGAAATTTTTTTTCCCAAACGGTATAACATAGCGAAGAATTTAGCGCCTTCTGATTGGCTGCTTCGATTTGCTTTGCCTTTGACAAGAGAACATACGCCCATTTGTAAATGTTTGTTTGGGTTTATAATCGCTAGATAAGTACGTTTTCTGATGTATTCACCATGAAAAACGTATCTTTTCCTCATTAATATAACATATAATATCACTATAATTGCAATTCTTTCTGCAAATGTGTTATTTTCATCTCAATCTTAAGTTATGAGAGGGTCTGGGCTCTCGTAATATTACATACGTACGCATGTACACGCACTCGTAGTGCTTCGTCGCAGGAGGAAAGAGCAAAGGGCTACGACGGTACTATAGTACTAGGGCTACGACAGTACTAGAGCAATACGTACTCGTACTCGTTGACGCTAGTAGTAGTATTACTAGTACGGTAGTAGTCGTAGTAGTAGCCTAGTGTTTAACCCTGAGGTCAGCTGAAACGTAAACTAATCGGACCACGGCACGAACATAAACAGAAAGGCCAAGACTATATACACACGGCGGCCGTGTGAATAAGATTCAATATGACTATACGCACGACGGCCGTATGGCCGACTCAATATGGCTAGGAATGAGGAAGGGGAGAAGGGATCGAGAAGCTGGTAAAGAAGGGGGAGGGGGAGAAGCTGGTGGAGAAGGAGGAAGGGGAGAAGGGAGAAGGTAGTGGAGAAGGAGGAAGGGAGAATCTGGTGGAGAAGGAGGAAGAGCAGAAGGAAGGTGGTGGAGAAGGAAGAGGGGAGAAGCTGGTGGAGAAGGAGGAGGGGAGAAGGGAGAAGGTGTTGGAGAAGGAGGAGGGGGAGAAGCTGGTGGAGAAGGAGGAAGGGGAGAAGGGAGAAGGTGGTGGAGAAGGAGGAAGGGAGAAGCTGGTGGAGGAGGAAGGGGAGAAGGAAGAAGGTGGTGGAGAAGGAGGAGGGGAGAAGCTGGTGGAGAAGGAGGAGGGGAGAAGGGAGAAGGTGTTGGAGGAGGAGGAGGGGGAGAAGCTGGTGGAGAAGGAGGAGGGGGAGAAGAGAGGTGGTGGAGAAGGAAGGGAGAAGCTGGTGGAGAAGGGAGACATAAGGCAAAGGGGGGGAGGAAACTGGGGAGGTGCAGGGGGCGGAGAAAGGGAGAAGGTGGGTGGAGGCGGGGGAGAATCGAAGCTGGTAGAGAAGGAGGAGGGCGAGAAGCTGGTGGAGGAAAAAGAGGACAGGGAAAGGACGGGAGAGGGAGCTGGCTGGAGAGGAGGGGGAGAAGGGAGAAGCTGTGGAGAAGGAGGAGGGGGAAGATGAGGTGAGTGGGAGAAGGAGGAGGGGAGA